CAAACAATCGGCGATTCCAACTGTTGAATAAGATGGCCATCGCAACGCTAGCGCCTCCACATACCGGTGACGGCGCACACACCTCAGACACCTCTGGTGGCCCGGGATCGAATGTACCAGCCGAGGACAATAGCAACACTCCTCAGAACAAGGATGGCAACGCGCCAGACGCGCCTACAGACGCGGATCCGCCTGGCAACGGTAACACGGACGACTCCAACGGCGCGGAGAGAGGTTCGCCCGCGTTCGAGAAGAACGGCGCGGAGGTGGAGGACGCCGCAGAGCCTCTACCTAACGATAAGGCTGGGAACCCTGCAGACACGCATGGCTCTAGGAGCCCCTCAGTTTCGTCACAGCCCACACCGAGCGTAGTGCTGGGTGGGGCGCATTTTCTTTCCATTGCAGAATCCGACAGGATCTGCCTGCCAGGAATCATCCCGTCGTCCGCGACGTCGCTTTCCATGGGGGCACCCGTGGTTCCTGTGAGCTGGGACGTCCCGCCTAGTTTTGATTTGGCGGCTGATCGTCTTATAGTCGGAGTTCCGGCTACTGAAACGTCCCTACAGCGCGGATCGAGGATGTATGACGGGTGCGGTGGTCTGGAGACTCCTCTCTTGTTTGAGAGTCTGAGCGCGGAGGCCCTCGCCGACTTGGAGGGACTACTGGGCCGTGACTCATTGGATTTCCTACTCCAGCTGCGTAATTACTCTCTGACGGCTCAGGAACGAGACACTGAGGCTCGTTCGTCCCTCGTTCAGCGAGAGGTTGCTTCAATTTTGGCCCGCATTTCCTCAGAACGTCTTGCAGAGCGCGTATACAATACCATGTCATTCTTGAGACGTCTTCTGGTCAAGGTTGGCGACCTCCAACATCACATTCAGCGTTTGGATGCGGACAAAACTTCGGACCACGCTCTCTGGCTTCAAGACACGAATCAAGCTTTGAAACGTGAGTGGATAGCCATGTGACAGTACTGGCACCGCCATGTACAGGATGTCGAACGTCGAAGCTCGGCGACAATGGCGGCCCGGACCCGTTTCTTTTGCAACGTGGAGGAAGGTCTGAAACGCAAGGCCATGACATTGCAGGACGAGAACGCTCGACTCCGAACCGAGCTGCCGGCTGCACAAGACGCCCAGGAATCCGCAGAGCGTCGCGCTGATGACAACGTGTTGGATCCTGACGATTTACTAGCCTTCTTGATGCGAGCTGAGAGTGGAGTCACCGTTATCTCCAATTGGGAGCGTCTCCGAGACATTTTCCGACCCTATGCCGAGGGTACCAAGCCTCCCAGCGCTTGGAATACTCAACTCAATGTGGCCGCCATGGACAACGTCCGTTATATGCCTCCCGACTACGTGAAGCCTAACCCGCGTCCTAGAAACCCTCGAGGGGGTGGTGGGTCTGGACCCAAGCCACCAACTCCAAAGCCAAGCAGAGTTCTGGACCTGACGGGTACGGAGGGTCGAGGCCCTCTAACACGACGTCACGATCCTCCAAGTCGCGGCCAACTTCTGGCACCAAACGCAAGGCGTCACGGCAACCCGATTCTAATCGCGGTGGTAGCTCGCGCAAGCCGGAGTTTGATGTTACAGAGGAGCTACAGATGCGCCCTAAGGAGCACTGCCCTCGCAACGATCTCCCCTGCGGTCCTGACGAAGACCTGGATTCAGGGTTGGAAGCCGATGCACAGAAGCGCGTCCCGGATGGTTTACTCTGGGACGACCTCCGACAGGACGTTCGCATGTTGATGATTACCGGTCTCACGTACGAGGAAGCTCTGAAGTTATTGCATGGGGGCGACCCCATTCACCACCTTCTGCCTGGATACATGGTGCAGTTGATGCTGGCTCAGATGATCGACTGGGGAACTGTGGACCTAACGCCCTGGAGTAAATATGTGCCTGAGTCCAATTAATCGGATGCCGAAAGAATCTGGACCGGGATTCGAGTTGTGGATGGTCGCGGACTTGAGAAATGGCCTTCCTTGGACAAATGTGATCGGAAGCTTCAGAAGCTTAGGGATGTGGCTGCAGAGGTCGAGATGATCAATGGCGCTCTCTCTGAATCGTCCGACGACGAAACTCAGGACCCTTCCTTCTCTCTGAAACCAGGCGCCGAGGAAGCTGACAATGCTCAAGAGACTCGAGACGAGGCCGAAGATCTAGATGATGGCGCGGACGAGGTACCAACAAAGATTACTGACGCTAGTCCAAAAACAGCCAAGCAAGCCAGTCCTGGAACGCGACGCCCCTCTCCAACCCCGGGTAAGAAACCCAAGGCGTCGTCTAGGGCCCCAGACACCAAGGTCCTCAAGAGGGTCAAGACTAACACTGGTCGTGCCCAAGGGGTACGTCATCCCACGGACTTGGCCACTCGCGACTTTCAATCTCTTGGTGACGACGAGCTGTTGATCATCGAGGTCTGCGACCGGGATGTTACCGGCACCTTTCGAGTCTTTGGGATTAAAATGAAATTCTCCGACAAGATTCAGACCCTCGGCTTCCCAGATTATGAATCACATAAGCACGAGACCAAGTATCTCAAGGATCGTTGGTCCATGGAGGCGTGGGATGAGTTCTTGGGCGTCGTTCGAGTGAAAAAGTCTGAAATTAAAGGACATCGTGGAACCACGTCGAAGCACAACTCTTCTGAGGCCGGTGTATACGGTTCAGGGTCAGACCCCCGCGTGTGGGAATCGAAGATCCTCGACTTTGTACTCCCTTGAGTCCAAATGTTTGAGGACCGTTCCAAAGAATTCTACTTCCACCGCGTTCGTGACCTGAGCAAGGGGGTCTTGCGTGGGATCAGAGACTACTTGAAGTCCATGGAAGAACATGCTGAGGGATGGTGGTACATACTACACTGGTTCACGATTTCCATGGAGGATGACCGAGCGAAAGAACCGCATCTGTGGCGTCGCAAGCATCGGGAGACTCTGGTCCGGAACTTTCTCATCCTAGTCCAACTTTTGGAGAAGATTGACAAGTTACCCAAGTCACTCTGGTACGAGCCTGGTTTGTGGATTCTTCCCATCACTATATGCTACTGGATCTTCAAGGATCCTTCGGTGAACTCCAGAACCGTGTTTGGGGTTGCTGACTTGCGCGCAGAACTCCTAAAATCGGACGAGCGAGAACCTGCGCGTACACTCTGGGGAGATGCTCCGAGAGAGATTGCACGTCTGGAACACGTACCAGAAGCATTCGTCTGCAAACGTCTGCTCCCGAAGGTCGAGCGAGCCAGAAACCTGCTGCCGATCCTAGGACGTCCCTCCACTTCGAAGCCAAGGACTACGAAAGAATTATACCAACTCCGTCTCGCCCAGGATGCTGCATCGGCAGGCTCCAACTCCGACTGAGTGTCTAACCTGAGGTCACTTAGTGCACTTCAGACTCGGCCTTCAGTGTCCAGGCATATCGTATCCACCTAATTCAATAATCAAATATTGATGTCTCACCTTACTCCATTCTCGTCAAAGTCACATTAACGCGGGGCAGACTGTCCAACAAATCTCCATTCCATACGCATCATTCATACCAAGTACTGGAACCACATTGCCTTCGTCAAGTATTCGCGCGCGATCACTCAGTCACTCTAATAACGCACGACTTCTCTGAAACGAGACACATAATGGTTGGAACCAGACTCATCTTCTCAGGATCGGAACCTATAGCTCCGCGTAGTCATCGTTCCCAGACTGTATGGCTGAGAAACGAGTTTTTGCACGTGCTGACCGGTTGAACTTATATAGAAGGGAGCCACAGTTCAATTGTGAGACGGGCAACCACTGAAGATCGTCGTATCCCTTCCACTTAATGAGATATTCGCGGATACGTTTCGCATTTCGGGTGCGCTTGGTCTATCTTAAATCTACAATTTATACTCCTGATGCACCGAATCCGGTTCCCATCTATCCTCCGGCAATAAAGCCGCATCAAAATTGTCCTCCTCTGAAACGTCAATCCTTAAAGACGGCCGTTTCGGAAACAAGGCACGTGGTTTCAGACGACTAATGTGGACCCATGGTTCTACACGATAGCCTGTGCCCTGAACTTTCAATTTCACCTTGAAATCGTCCCAAACCTGTTCAATCCTGCATGGTCCATGCCACAGATGGGCCAGCTTACGACTGAGGCCTGGCAGGACCTTTGGGATATACAACCAGACCGAGTCACCTACTTCGAAACCAGACTTGAGGTGATCCGACAGCACCTCCCACTTCTGAGCCTGAACCGCGGATCGCGTACGCTTGGCTCTCTTCTGGAGCACATCCGCACATGCGTGGGCATAGCTGTAGTCTCATCGTTGCAATTTTCGACGCCATTCATACGCGGTACGTTCTGTGACGTCCGTCGGTTTTGGACCCAGCATAGCTGCTATAGTGCTCCGACAATCAAACCCGTGTAGTAGGTAGAACGGCGTATCCAATCTAGTCGCATCGAAGGAGGTATTTATAGCATGCATAAGCTTCTCTGCATGGTCGTCCCAGTCGGTTTGGTCGGGCTCTTCAACATACGTTCTGATACTGTGCATAATTGTCTGACCCGATCGTTCCTGCAGGACATTGGCCTGAGGGCGATACGCGAGCGTTGCTTTCTGCTGGATACCCATCATCTCGCTGAAGCGACGGAACACGCGACTCCTGAACCTGGGATCTCTGTCATGACGGATTTCAGAGCTTGCGCCATAGTTCCTGAATACAACCTCTTCATAGGCTTCAGCACAGTCTTGACCGGTAGTGCTGCTCATGGGTTTACACATAACGTAGCCCGTGAACATGTCCTGAAACAAAAGTAGGAAGGTATTCCCGCGTTCCGACTTCGGAAGATGTGTGGCAAAATTCCATGGACACTACTTCGAATGGACCAGTCAGTTCAATGTTCACGGGAGAGGATCCTGGATTCGGAGGTCGCCCCTTAGCGGACGCGCAATCCGTACATTCCAGGACAAACATTTCGACGTCTTGGAACATCCCGATCCAGAAAAACTCTGAACGCAGACGCAAATATGTCCTGGTGATGCCTTGATGACCACTCTGGAAATCCTCGTGAGCGTGGTGTAGGATGCCAGGCCGCAGGGCTTCTGGTACAACTAGTCGCAGTTCGGGGCACTTATCCCTTGGGCGTTCCGGAGTAGGCGCAGTCAAACGATAGAGGACGTCTCTTGAATCTAAGACATATCGGTCCGAACTCTTCGCGATTTTCTTGACTTCCTTCCGCGTATAGTTCAACAGGTCAC